AAAATCCATTTCTAAGCAGATAAGTGTGCTCTGCTGATCGGAAAGTCGGAGTTCCGGTCCTTCTAAAATATTTTTCGTATAGTTTTGAATATATTTATTCCTTTTCAAAAGAGTTTTAGACAGTGGCAAGTCTCCGTTACTTTGTACTTTGTACCGTTACTGCTTAGAAATGGATTTTTCGGGGATTATGAATTTATTAAAAGTAACGGAGACTTGCCACTGCCTAGAACTCTTCGGAAAATGAATATATATATATATATATTCAGAGCTATACGAAAAATATTTAAGAAGAACCGGAACTATAACTTGCCGATCAGCAGAGCACACTTGTCTGCTTAGAAAGGTGTTCTTCGGGGATTATGAATTTTTGAAGGAGTAACGGAGATTCGCCACTGCCTAGAACTCTTCGGAAAATGAATATATATATTCAGAGCTATACGAGAAATATTTTAGAAGGACGGGAACTCCGACTTTGCGATCAGCAGAGCACACTTATCTGCTTAGAAAGGTGTTCTTCGGGGATTATGAATTATTAAAAAGTAACAGAGACTTGCCACTGCCTAAAATTCTTTGGAAAATGAATAAATGTGTTCAGAACTACACGAGAAATAGTTTAGAACTCGTACAACTATCGAAAATCCGTCAGCGTCTTAGTGTTATGATAAATACATCTTTTTTTTCTATCGGCTGTTTTTGTATAAAATCGCCAGAACTATTATTAAAAAGTACCAAGAACTACAGAACTCGACTGCATGCGATAAGAACTCCATTTTATTTTTGATCTGCTGGGAAATGATATGCCAACTTCACAGGCATCATCAGAAATGCGAAATGCCTGTGAAGTTGGCATATCATTCCCAGCAGATCAAAAATAAAATGGAGTTCTTATCGCATGCAGTCGAGTTCTATAGTTCCTGATACTTTTTAATAATAGTTCTGGCGATTTAAACAAAATAACAGCCGATAGAAAAAAAAGATGTATTTATCATAACACTAAGACGCTGACGGAGTTTCGATAGTTCTACGAGTTCTAAACTATTTCTCGTGTAGTTCTGAACACATTTATTCATTTTTCAAAGAATTTTAGGCAGTGGCAAGTCTCTGTTACTTTTTAATAAATCATAATCCCCGAAGAACACCCTTCTAAGCAGATAAGTGTGCTCTGCTGATCGCAAAGTCGGAGTTCCGGTCCTTCTAAAATATTTCTCGTATAGCTCTGAATATATATATTCACTTTCCGAAGAGTTCTAGGCAGTGGCGAGTCTCCGTTACTTTTTCACAAGTTCATAATCCTCGAAGAACACCTTTCTAAGCAGACAAGTGTGCTCTGCTGGTCGGCATGTTATAGTTCCGGTTCTTCTAAAATATTTTTCGTATAGCTCTGAATATATATATATATATATATATATATATATTCATTTTCCGAAGAGTTCTAGGCAGTGGCAAGTCTCCGTTACTTTTAATAAATTCATAATCCCCGAAAAATCCATTTCTAAGCAGTAACGGTACAAAGTACAAAGTAACGGAGACTTGCCACTGTCTAAAACTCTTGTGAAAATGAATAAATATATTCAAAACTATACGAAAAATATTTTAGAAGGACCGGAACTCCGACTTTCCGATCAGCAGAGCACACTTATCTGCTTAGAAGGGTGTTCTTCGGGGATTATGATTTATTAAAAAGTAACAGAGACTTGCCACTGCCTAAAATTCTTTGGAAAATGAATAAATGTGTTCAGAACTACACGAGAAATAGTTTAGAACTCGTAGAACTATCGAAAGTCCGTCAGCGTCTTAGTGTTATGATAAATACATCTTTTTTTCTATCGGCTGTTTTTTTAATAATCTAGAACAACATAAGCGCGCGCCATTATTCTTCCACATTATATATATTACATAAACTGTCAAAATAACCCTCTTAAATACAAACTGTCGAAACCGCAAGTCGAAGTGAACGACTCGCAACGAGATCGACACATAAACTGTCAAAATAACCCTCTTAAATGCAAACTGTCAAAACCGCGAGTCGAAGAGAATCGACTCGCAACAAGATCGAAATGGAGTTTCGAGAGAGCCAATCGGCATCGCGGAAAAGCGACAACAATGAACTCGCAACGCCTTTTTTAGATAGGGAATATTTATTTATTATTTTAATTACTTGTCATGATATTTAATAGTTTATACTGGATTTTTTTAAATTGTTTGCGCTGAAGATGAACCAAAAATGGTTCAAAACATTTGCCGAAGCCTGGAAAAAATATAAGGAAGCGAGAACAACATTAGTCACAGAGATCAGTAGATGCAAAACGGAATCCTGGAAGCAATTACTTAATGATATAAACAAAGATCCATGGAGTAGACCATACAAAATGGTTATGAATAAAATAAGACAATGGTCCCGTCCGATCACAACAACGATGGACCCAGAACTGTTGAACAGGGTACTGAACACCCTATTTCCTGGCGGACGCCCAATACAACAAGGACAGCCAAGGAGAGAATGGGACACAGAATGGGAAGTTACAGAAGACGGGATAAAAACAGCCGCATCAACCCTAAAAAAGCACCCGGACCCGGAGATGGAGTGCCGAGAAAAATCATAGTAGCGGTAGCAGCTATGTTCGGCAGGCAATTCCTAGCAACTGTAATCACTGACGATTTGGACGCGCGACTCCAAGCAGGAAGGCCCGGAGTAATGCGCGTCGTAACTTATTAAAAAAAAGTATATTTATTGCTAGAGAAAAGTGTTCAAAAAAAAAGAATTGCCGTAGCGTCTTGTTTAATTTAAATGTATAATTCATGTATTATAGAAAAAATATACTTGGTGCAAGACGTTACCGCATCTCTTGAGTAAAAATCTTTGGATAAACAGTATATTTTTTATTTTATGTCATTTTACATTTATTTACCTAATTAAGAGATTAAAAATACAATTCTTTGCATTAGATATAATGTAAATATCACTTGTATGTAATATGTAATATAACTTGTAAGGAAGTTACAGTTACAGTTATTTTTTTGGTAGCTCTAACTTAACTTCGTTACTTTCTCTCCATCTGTAACTGTAACTTAACTCAGTTACATTTTTTCGATAACTAGTAACTTATTTAATGGTTAGATTAATAGTTACTTTATGTATATTTTAAATCTCCACAGATTGCAATAGGCCTTGCATTTTCGCGTAACCACCTTTATCGACACTTTACAATTTAAATACAGATTTGATATTTTGATTTTCATTGCAAGAAAGTAACTGCAAAGTAACTGCTCATCACTTTTTGAGTAACTGTAACTGTAACGCGTTACTTTTCAAAATTGGTAACTTGTAACTGTAAATAGTTATATTTTTAGCGAAAAAACTGCAACTGTAACTACATACTTTTATAAAGTAACTTTCCCAATCCTGGTAAATATACACATTGAAAATATTTTATACAGAAAATATAAATTCGCCGATCCTAGCTTTGAAAAAGAACAAGTTAGTAAATCAAAAGGCACGGATAAAAGATCCAGTTGTCTCTATTGTGCATAATAGAAACCTGAAGAATAATATTTATTTAATCTACATTTCGTTAAACTTAATTTTTCAGTTATAACTTAAAAGATACGATATTAAAGCAATGAGAGTTACACAAACAATATTTAAGGATTCTATCCTGGTAGAACTGTCTGGTTTTTCGATTTCAGGTTCTAGACTCATTATCCATTGTCTAATTTTGTAGCCGTTAGTTTTGAACCACAGTAAGTTGGTTTCCACTGTAGAAATAGCAGAACGTAATTTAATTTTCATATTTGGAGGATACATGGTTATATTATGTTCCACGAAGTCCATCAACTAGAAGAAAGAAGAATATATGTATAATACGCAATAGAAAAGTTTTGATTAAGTTTCTATTTTTAGAGTTTAAGCTTTTTAATAACATCGGTTTGTCGACCGTGTCTGGCAATTAAAATTCTTATTGCGAAAAATATTACCCCAGCCAGGATTCGAAACTGGGACCTCCCTACAATCCGTGACGGGCGTCTAAACCAGCTCGACGCCCGTCACGGATTGTAGGGAGGTCCCAGGTTCGAATCCTGGCTGGGGTAATATTTTTCGCAATAAGAATTTTAATTGCCAGACACGGTCGACAAACCGATGTTATTAATTTATTAAATTACTGCTGGCGACTTTAAGAATATTCTTACTAGTTTAAGCTTTTTGTTTCGTCACTTTTATTTTTTAAGGCTGCGTTCGGAAACATTACCCGAGTGCCCCAGTGGATCATTTTATCCTCGTTGCTCGGCGAATGTTAAATAAGGATAAAATGATACACGGGGACGCTTGGGTGATGTTTCCGAACGCAGCCTAAATAAGAACTCTGAGTAATCGTACCGTATTATATTGATCCTCGCTCGATATATACGATGCCACATTAACAAATAAATCTGCAACTTCGTCCCACTTTCCAAAACTGTAACAAAAATATACAAACGTAAGAAGTTCATTGCTACAATAGTGTAGAATTGTAGATAGTACTGTAATGACACTTACTATTGATACAGCTCTTCAATATGTGTTATTAAAAAGTTAAGGGTAACATTTACTCCTACTGGGCCTGCGCTGTAGACGGAAGTAAATACCGCTGAAACATCTTGTCGACGAATGACAGCACTGGCAGGATCGTATTTTTCTATGGCTCTTCCTAAGTAACTGTTTAAAAAAATTGATCGTAAATTGATTGAGTAAAATCGCCCTGGGATATGTTCAAGTAATAAGAAAGATTATCACAATTTTAACGAATTTCATGATGTAAATATGGGAACATAAATTTACTTTTATCATAATATGCATAAATATGCTTTTAACTGACAACAGTTAAAAATGAAATTTATTATATAGAAAATTCTTTACTTAATTATTTCATCAAGTATGTTAGAATTCTTCTCTAAATTAACATTAATAAACATAGTTTAATTAACATACTTTAAACATTAGTAAACATACTTTAATTTCACGTTAAATAAACTAGAATCGTGACATTGTAATTTTTTCTTTGGTTAAAGAAGTTGATATTAATGCATCTTCTGTATGGAAACTTACGTTTGGAGTACTGTCTCATTTATCGAGCACCCGAGTGCATTTATAATAACCTTCATCTCTGTTGCAAAGTTTGTGTCTAGATATTGATCCCACAAGAAATCCCAATCATCTGAGCTTCCTTGTCTTATTGCGGTACAATAAACAGCTGGCCGTGCATTACGTGGAATTCTATAGATAAGAAAATATTATATTATAAGAAAATACATGTAAATAAAAATTTATAAACTGTAAATTTTATAATTATTACGGTACATTGATTAAATTAATTCTCTATCTAGGCTTATTTAATCAGCATAATTATTTAAAACGTACAATTAGTAATTATAAGTTCATAATTCTAATTTCTTTCAGAACTTTTTAAAATTCATGTTTCAACTTTCCAAGATAATTTTACATTGTAATATTTTCAGTCTCAATTGTGTTTAGTATTAAGTTATATGTATATTTCGTAACGTTTAAAATAGAAACTTATGATTCTTGCATGGAAGAGATAATTAAAAACATGAAGAAGTATTTCAAACTTCTAGATATCTCGGATTAAAACAATTGTTATAAATTTAATAATTTTATTAAAACTTATCGGAATATTACCGTGTGGAATTGTTCTGCCAGGTGGTAAATAGCTCTACAGATTTTGTCAGGCATTCCGCATTACCTAATTTGCAAGCCCATTGAAGAATCATTTCCCGATTTAATTTGTCTAAATGCTCTTCATTATCACGATCGTCGAATCCTACTTTCTCATACATCGGAGATAATAATTTCATAATGTATCCATTTAGATCTTTCTGGAAAGTTGCCTGTGTTTCAAATCTTCCAGAAATGAACGATATGCCATTGAAGAACGCTTTCCAGGGTAAATGATGTGTTTCTTGTTTTAAATACAGCGATGCGCTCATCAATAATTCATATTCCACGTAACTAGCGCGAGCCAAGTTAAAGAGATCGTCAATAATTTGAGCACGATTCAAGGGATTGATAACTTCGAATCCTTTATTCTTTAACTTATCGATTAATTTTTTCCACGAGAAAGTATCGTAATTAACGCGGTAGAAACCAGTTTGTTCATAATTTACGATAAACCAATCGTTAGTAGGATTAACATATATTCCCTGAGGTTCTGGTCCTAGCCATATTTTTTGGTGTAAAGAAATATCACCAAACATATTGGATGGAACGAATATATCAATTGGTATCCAATAAAATTCACTGCCAATGTTATTGCTATTTATTAGGAACCGTTCCTACAACACAATATGGTAAAATAATATGTAGAATTGTAGAAATACATGTGAATAAATAAAGAAGAATGAAATAATTATATTATATATTACCTGAGTAAGCGTTAGTATGTCTTTAGTTAATGTAGCATTGACCACCGGATATCCCGGTTGATTTGTCCAAGTATTCATAACTTCTTCGATGCTTACATTTCTATCGCCAATGTTTATCGATACAAATAACTCGAAACTATCCCATAGATCTGTAGGACTTGCCGTACGATATTTTCGTTTTGTTAAATAATCACGAAGTGCCAATATATGATCTTCTTGGTCAAATGCATTGAATATCATTCGTAAGACACTGGCGGCTGTAATATAAAAATATTTTAATAATAAATAAAAAAGGAAATACTTAATAGAACACTGAGCTTCTAATATAAATATATGTACGTATAAAAGCACTAATAAAGTATTTTGCGTTTGTAAAACATTATTATGATATAAACAGCTTTTGATATAATACAATAAATTTATAGTTTCATAAATTATAATGAGAATTTAATGTTTTGTATAAGCTTTAATATGTTGTATTTATAAGATCTTATATTATTATAGCAATAATAAAATTTATTAGAATTTGTAAAAGACATTTTCAATAGAAATTTCCTTGAGGATGTTATATGTTATACATTACGTGTTTTAATCAATATGATGTAATATGATAATTATACATACATTTCCCGTAAGTGACATAATCGAAGATTTTAGCTATTTCTTCCGGAGTTTTGACGGGATTTGTCATTGGGTGTGTTGAGAGCGAAGCATCTTTCGACAGAGCGGGATGTAGTTCGTAAACCACGAATTGATCCATGAACTTGTAATTTGGGCGTATCTAAAAAGAGAATGCAAATAAAAATGATTACATTTGTTATATATAATATGTAATTTTGTATTATTTGCAAAATTGAGTTTTATAATAAATTATAATTTTTGCAAAATTTAAGAAAATCTTAAAAGTGAGAAATTTAAACGATTTCTTGAATTTTAAAGAAAAATAAATTAACTTCGTCGCATTTTGAAAAACAAAGTTTTATTTGTGGTAGAAGTAAAATATAATTTTTCTTTTATGTAAATATCAGTAATTACGTACCCGATCAGATATAAACCATTCGAAGTATTGTGCGAAACCTTCGTTGAGCCAAATATAATCCCACCAGTCGCAAGTAACGAGATTTCCGAACCACATGTGAGTAAGTTCGTGCGCTATTACGGTGATTATGTACTTTTCGAAGGTGGATGTAGTTTCTTTTTTGTTATAGAAAAGTCCGTATTCACTGTTGAAAGATTTATGTTATTTATAGAATATGAGGAACTCACTTGTGTGTTGTATAAAAGATAACGTGTTCGAATTGTCAAGAAAAAGTAATATTACCGGAAAGTAGCAAGACCCCAGTTCTCCATCGCGCCCATTGAAAAATCTGGAATTCCCACCAAGTCTAGCTTGGGCAAAGTATAATTGATGCCGGTAATATTCTGCAACTCGTCAATAAGTTCAATGCCAATATCTTGAGCGTATCTGCCATGTACCACGACTTCCGGTCTACCCCATACGTTGAAAGTTGCGTTTCCAACATCCACAGACTCAAATTCGGAGACAACAAATGCTACCAGATACGTCGACATAACAACGTTGCTAGTGTGGAAAGTGTCCACCGTGTAATTACCGTCCCTAAGTAACAAGTAAATGTAATAAGATAACATTGCTGATATAAGTACTTTTTACTCAAGAATTACACAGAAAAGCATATAGTGTATCCAGTTTAAGATTTGTAAAATGTATAATTGTATGTATACTTACGTTAGACTTATGGCATCTGTTTTGAGTGGCATATTACTTCGCGAGTTGTAATGATTTAGCCTTTGAATGTTAATTGTGAATTTTGATTTAAATGCTGGTTCGTCTAAACAGGGGAAAGCCTGTCTAGCATACGTAGGCTCAAAGTGTGTTGTAGCCAACCAACTGTGAAAAAATGAAATAAGTATTAAAGATTGATATATAATTAATTAATTACATAGTTTTACTTTTATGCATTAATATTTTTATTAATTCATAATTATTGAGATTATAATGAAAAAGTTGAACAGTAAGATTACCAAACTGCTTTTTATTTTCTTTTAATAAACGATACCAAGGTGTTAGTTATTTATGAATTTATACTCACTGCTGCACCCCTTCACTGTCAAAATACGAACTACGATAGAATCCATTCATATCATCATTAAGAATTCCGTTAAAATTAATTTTCACTTTTATCTTCTCATTCGTATGTACATAGGCGGATAAATATATTTTTAGTATTTGTTGCGGACCATGTTCTTTGTAACTCAGCACTTCTATTTTTGAATCATCTTCTCTGAAGACGTTGATATTTGATGAGATATTGAGTTTGTGAGAATTGAGAGTTATTAACGTAGTACTTTCCCGAACTGTCATTTGTATTTCCACATCTCCGTCAAAGACACCTTCTTCCATGTGAGGTGTGAGATATATGTTGTACAAGTTTGGCTCAAGCGTCTTCGGCAAGCGGTACATGTTACTTGAAAATAGATTGTCCAATGCTTCGAAAATTACTGGAACTTTTCTCTCATACCAATCGAACTCATATTTTGCTGTTTCCAAATAGGAATCGACAGACATCTTGAATTTCGGTTCTTTCTTAACCAGCTGGTCGAGTAAGTTTTCATACTGCGAGTAAAACATAAATCAAATACATCTTGATTAATTAGTTGACAAGAATTTTAAATAAATAATTACTAAGAATTTGTTTTATTTAAGTAAAATATCTGGTAAAATATGAATATGGTAACGGATATATTCGGCAAGTTTGAATATTTGACATTGTTTAATGATAAAACTTGGTTATTTTATTTTGAATATTTTATTTCACTTAATTAATAAATGCTTTTCACTTCGTATTGAACATAATGTGTGCATATACAGAAAGAATAATTAATCGTGATGTTCTTTATGAAAATTTTTTAGAATTTAAAATATCGGGTGTCTCACTTTAAATTAACCAGCCAATTATTTCGAAAAATATGAAAAATACGGATAAACATTTCAGACAAAAGTTTTGTTCAAAGGGGATAATAGATGATGCTATTAATTGATCTTTTATTGAAGGATACCTTTGTATGATCTTCAAACGATTATTCAAAATCAATTCAATAGCATCATCTTATGTCCCCCTTCGAACCAAACAACTTTTATCTAAAACGGTTTTCCGTATTATTATCTTTCATATTTTTCGAGATATTTGGTTAGTTTAATTTAAAGTGGGACAGCCAGTCGATTTTTTGTAAATTTAATTAAAAATTAAAATTAGTTGAAAATATATCATGATACATTACCTGTTTATAAAGATCAGAAGTGGATAATCTGCTTGCCAAAGCGCTCACTATATTTTCGATTTTTGTATAATCACCGTCACTGTAATTAAAAATGGTATGTCATGCTGCGTCGTTATACAATTTTTATCACTGTGCAAAGTTACTCACTATCGGTTCAGTATAGCTTCATAAGAAGTTTCAATCACTTTCATGACAACTTCAACACCAATCAAACTTGCATCGTAAACGTTCGAAAATACTTTCGCGCTATCTTGATACCGTATATTCACAGAATCCTTAATAATCGCTTCTCGCAATAACCTTGATTTAATGAAAGAAACAGATAAATTTGTTATAATTAATAAAATTAATGAGCATTGCAATTCTTCTTAATAAAATTTAATAAATTGTCTGTTTATCACAAATTTATTAAGGAGATTCTTGACAGAGTTGCACCTCTTTACATCTTTTGCATCTACAGTTCTCAGTTCATAGAAACATTTGTGTAATACCCAATTATATTCTCTGATTTAGTCCGAACAGGAAGACACTTTCGATCTATACACATAAACTATATAGTTTGCTTATTACACAAAAGGTTTCCATAAACTGAAAACACTAGGTGCAGAAGGTGCAAAGAGATGCAATGCAGTCCAACATCTCCTTAACACATGAATATTAGAAAAATTTAAAAATAAGATGCATCTTTGTAATTTCTACGCAATATATGTGCTATTATTGTATTATATTTAAAAAATTATTAATAAAAGTAATTTATGGATGCCAATTTCTTATGAGTTATAATTCGATATTAACAATGAAAAGAATATTGTACATACCTTTCTAAATCATCCCTGTTTTCTGAACAAGCTAATGAACTAAGAATTACAAGTTTATCTGTATTCACATTACTCTTTATGTACTCGTTCCATAAAAATTCATAATTATCTCTTGAGTTCATTCTCATGGCTGTGCAGTAAACAACATCGCGGTAATTTGGTGGTATTCTGTAAAATAATCAATGATTAACAAAGTTTAATTAATATAATATTACACATGACGTTTACGTAGTGTACAACCATTTCTATTTGCATTACGCCATGGAAGAAAATGAATGGACATATTTTAATTTGTTTTTGAACTTACGGAATTGAACGTTGTTTCTGTCTGAAGAATTTTGTAGCCTCATATATACAATCTGCTACATCTAATTTACAGGCCCATTTGCGAGTATGTATTCTTAACATTTTAGTTAAATCGTCGTCGTTCTCGCGATCCTCAAAGCCTAACCGTGTGTAAAGTCCTTCTATTAATGATGTTAACCATTTCTGAAAATGTTTCATAAATATTAATTGTTTTCTGTAGAAATACTTATAAAATTTCTTATAAAAATAAATTTAAAGGAAACTAAATAATGACTGAAAAGATTAAAGGAGATTTGCAGCAAAATAGAATTTGATTTGAATATAATAAAGATGTACAACTGAAAAAGTTAATTCACGTAGAAATATGAACCTTGAGAGCAATATTAATAAATGTAAAATTTTGAAATAATAAACCTATTTATATAATTCTACTTTAGATATTAATTATAACACAATAAGGTTTAGAAGAATTTTAGTAATTATACATATGTGTACTTTAGTAATAAAATCAGAGAAATAGTGAGAGAAAATTTTTTAAATTTATATAGAATGTATTAACATTATATATACACATACACACACACACACACTCATATTTATACAAGTGTAACGTACGTACTTTATATAGCTGTTCAATTTCACGTCCTGCAAAACGGTTGTTCAAGTAAGGCAGATTATTGAAGAACGCACGCCAAGGGAAATAATTATTTTCTTTCTCCAAATACATTGTAGCGGATATAACAGTTTTGTAATCGATGTAATCTGCTCTTGCAAGATTCATAAGATCATCAATTAATGCTGCGCGATTAATTACGTGAATTGTTTGAAAATCTTGGTTCTTAAGATAATCAATCAACTCCATCCAATGTTTTTTGTTATAATTTACACGATAGTAACCTGAAAACAAATGGTATATTTGTAATTGCAAATATCTTAAAATAGCGAATATCATGGAATAACGCAGATGTCTATAAAAGCTGTTAAATTTCTAAATTTTGTTCATTAAATTTATCATTCTTTTCGATGAGTGCCAATTTTTAATTTGCTTCGTTCAATTACCTGATTGTTGCGTGTTGCATAGTACAAGTGAATCTGATGGCTTTTTTATTATGTTTTTGCGTTCTGTTAACCAAAATTTCGATGTGGTATCGGAGTAATCTAAACTATTTTGAACTGATGCCCATGTAATTGGGATGTGCCACAGAGTTTCATCAGAATTATTGCCATGTTCTTTAAGGAAGAAACGTTCTTGTTCCAAAATTATAATATGTTTTTTAACATCGACATTAACGACAGGATAACCGGGTTGAGTTGTCCACGTGTCTAAGATGACTGTGATATCGTCTTTTAATCCTTTCTCATCTAGTTTTTGTTGAAGTGAGGCGTACAAATCTTTTGGCTCGGCAACGCTGTAACTTCTAAAAAATGAAACAAGAAATTATTTCTTCTTCTTAAAACATGTGCTTATTTATGAAATAAATTTTAAAGGTGTTAGGTAATATTAAACATTAGAATAGACGTTCCTCGTCTTATTAAAATCTGCTATAGATATTTATATACTTTATACATAGATACATTATACTTTGTATAAAGTTATATTATTTACACAGATATACTTTAATTTTTATTCTTTCTCTTGCACTTACGTACCAATCATCAATTTTTCTTTCGACACAATTTTATTATTAAGACTAGTTCCATTAATTTAAAGTTCTCTTTACTATTATAAATGTTTTAATTAACGTATATCGTACATTTTACTTACATTTTGCAACTTTTATATAAATATCTTTGTAATGTAAATAAATTAATATACGTATATATTTGTTTGAATAATATTTAATCAAACAAACTTTTGATAATTATGAATTAACATCAGAGAAACTGCATTCGTTAAATTAATAAAAGAATTATTTGTAGTCTCAAAATGTTACATACTTTTGTTTAAGATAGTCACTTAATGCATCATTGAATATTTCAGTTCCAAATACTTTTTCGACCATTCTCAATACGCTAGCAGCTTTAGCATAATTAATTGTGTCAAATATGCTGTGAATTTCACGAGGAGTAGTTACATCATGACTCATGGGATGTGTAGATTTAGAACTGTCTGCACTGAAAGCAGAATGTACTTGGTCCACCACAAATTGTGATTCCAAACTATCGTCTGTAAATACCTAGAAAGCGAATAATTTATTGTTTAAAGAAATCCTTATCCCATCTAGTTGGAATAATACTTTTATTTTAATATTTATTTTTCTATTATTTATTTTTCTTATTGTTTTAAAATGTAAAAAATGCTGCATGTATGCTGTAGAAGAATATGTCTGTAATTTCCGTATTTGCGACATAAAACTATTTTAGACTGTTCGTAAAAATTCACAGACATAGTGATAGTGATATAATTAATAGCGATCAAAGATTTCGTGTATTTTTAATTCATTCTTACGTCGGCGGGGAATATTTTTATTACGTACACGGGCTGGAGCATGGTATTCGAAGTATCTAGCAAATCCTTCGTTCAACCACAGATATTTCCACCACAGAGGACTGACCAAATTTCCGAACCATTGATGGGAGATTTCATGAGCAATCACGTTTCTGATATCTAGCTTATTTGTTATCGGCGAGTGATTCTCGTCATATAACATACTCGCTTCCCTGTATGTTAAAAGGCCCCAGTTCTCCATTGCGCCTGATGAAAAATCGGGTAGCGCCGCCATAAATAATTTTGGGAGTTGATATTTTTGGTTGTACGTCTCCTCGAAGAATTTCAACAATGGAGACATTACTTCTAAAGCGTAAGAGGTTTGATTAATGGCGTTGGGACGTGCGTATACCGCTAATTTAATTCCATCACTTGTTTCCCCAGATTTAGACTTAAAATCAGAAACAATAAGAGCCACCAAATATGTCGACATCAGTTTTGTCTCGTGGAAAGTGTACGTGTCGTGACCATTACCACTGCAACATTTGGTTAATATGTAATTTTAGTTTTTGTATTTTACCAGGCTTTATGAAAGTCATGTAATTTTTGTTTTAAATGCATTTATAGTATGCTCTATGTATTATTAACACTGTAATAATTTTTTCAAAGGGAAATATTTATAATATTCCAAATAATTTCTTTAAAGTACATTTTTGTATTACAAAATATTAAATATCAAATTATAATAAATTATCAATCTTTTGGTTTTTCCATTTTCAAAACAAGAATGGTTAATAATAACGTAATACTAAAGTAAAATATTTGTACTTGATTAAAAATTTGTACTTGATTAGGAAGAAGAGAGTATTCAATTCCATTATCCAAAGAAATACATTTAAATGTGTACATACGGTTGGTTTAAGACTTCCCAGTTCATGTTACTGAGTGGTGTGTAATCTGGTGGCACGGTAACTTCAATAGTAAAGATTGCTTTCATCGCTGGTTCATCGAAGCAAGGAAACATTTTTCTAGCGCCTACAGGTTCTAAGTGAGAGGCTGCTAGCCATCTAATACATAAATTTTGCACTAAATCTTTAATGCAAGAATTTTAAAAGTAAAAATGTAATATTTTTTTCATATATTATCTTCTTTCTCTCTTATTTATTAATTTTTTTTTTAAAAATTGTAACTTAAAATTTAAACAAAATTACGGTTATAATATTATTGTTATGTAAGCGATAGTAATTGCAATCGTTTTTAGAAATTTTTCTTAAAATTGTTCTTGGCATTTTTATATAAGCACAAGTTCCTTAAAACAAAAAAATATTTGAGAATGTTTCTCCTGCTAATTCGTATGACGCAAATTAAGTGAATGCAATAATATTTATTTACCTCGTTTCTCCCTTCTCATTCAAGTAAGAACTTTTGTAGAAGCCACGAAGCTCTGTAGCGTTCAAATTACTTTTGTACTTGATTTCGATGGTCAAATTAGTTCCCGTGGTTACTTCTTCTTCTAGATAAATAATGTAAAAGTCATATCGGTTTTCTACCTTTTTCTTTAGAATGTGCAAAGGATCGTTTTGACCATTGGCTGTGACGGTCACTTTTTCATGTTCAATGTTCGAGGAATGCAAAATGATCTGATCTGTCGGATGTGTTACATTGGCTGCGATCGTCACCTTTCCGTCAACGGTAAAATCCCCCTCAAGATAAGGTGTAACGGAAATAATATATTTTTGAGGATTTATATTGTTTGGTAAGCGATATCGTAGGTTATCATATTTTCGTAGCCACTGAGTTATAGATTCTGAAACGTATATAAACCAGTCCAATTCGTATTTAGCGATTTTTAAAGAAGAAGCCAAAGATTTTTCGATTGACGTGAAGTCCGCTTTGTGCTTGTTTATAAGAGTTTCGAATTTGTTCACTAATTCGAATGTAGAGAGACGCTGCGACGCTCCATCCAGGATTGTGGCTATTGTACCCTGCCCTCCGTAGCTAAGTGAGAAAATAACATACTTGTATATCAAAACATGATCTTTACATATGCGTTGATACCGTCGATAGTAAATAATATTTTGTATTGTAAAGGAGAATTTAAAAAATATATTTTACGCGCAACGCATATTATATACATATATCTATATGTATTACACACACACACACACACACGTATGTATATGTATATGTGTATATATGTATAATATGTAATACTAGTGCATCGTTAATATCTTATATTTACTTATAGTGATTGAAATGTTAATTATATTCTACTTCGTTTTGAATGTTAATGTTAATATGTCATGTAAGTTTACAGTGTTATAAGGGTAACTTACTATTCTTCCATTTCTTTGTGATACTGGTCAACAAAATCAAGAACAGTCTCAGCACCAATCAGGCCAGAGTTATAAACGGCGGCGAAGACAGTCGTGCTGTCCTGTTTACGAATTTGATTCTTGTCAAAACTGCTAATGGCTTTAAGTAGATATCTGCACAAAAATAATAACAAAGTTGTCAGCATTGTACAGCACACGTACCATATTTGCGTAATAATGATGTCGTACTATTTTCCTATATTTGAATTGTATAGCTACAATTATATCATCCAAATTAAGTATCAAGAGTTGTTAAACATTTTTAATTTTTGTACAAACATATATTATTTATGTATCTAAATATTTTGTTATTAATTATATACTACAAACAATTAGAAAATGTTTAAACATTTTCTATATAGCTTAACATCTATATAGCTTATTAACATCAATATGTGGTGCGCAATTATTGTGTTCTTTTGTAACACAGTACTTTTTATATTTAAGCTATGTAATTTGTAAGATTTTTGCTCTGTAAGCTCCGTAGCTCTATTTTTTTATATCATTTTTCTGTTCTCGGTTGCTCCTTTTGCTTGACAGTGTTACATAGCTTCTAAAGAAATAGCATTACACAGCATTGTTTTACAGACTACATAGCTATAAGTTACTTATGCATGTGTTAAACACAATTTTTATGGCGTATCAAGTCTTACTCTTGTAAGATGCTAGTATCCTGACTGCATCCCAATGCGTTCAAAATCACTGTTTGGTCGGATGGATAATCGAAATTTATATATTCTTCCCACAAAAAGTTCCAATTATCAGGAGATCCATGTCTTATGGCTACGCAGTACGCTGTAGTTCTTTCATTTGGCTTAATACTGTAAAATATTAAACAATTTGATATTACTAGACTATAATTAAATTACTTTAAAAGTTAGAAAAAATTTTTTTAACATTAAATATAAAGTCCGAATGTTTCAACTTTCTATTATAAATAAGATAAATAAACGCAAAAAGGTTATATATTAGGAAGATTAGAAGGTATTTGAATATTGAATTTTATTGTGTACTATTCAATAAAAAATAGGAAATACTTTTCATGTGCTAAAAATTCGACTATTTTTAAATTGCTGAAACTCGACAAAAGTTGACCTATTTTTTTGGGTTAGTGTATACACTTATGAGGGTAGAAACGAGAGAATGCTTTTATATTCGTACCGGATACCATCTGTTTTCCACTGTTGAAATTTTTCAGTATAAATTGTTACACATTCCTCATCGTCGAAATTACAGAGCCAATTATTGACCTCGCGTCGTAACAAAATTTGTAGCCAGTCATCATCTTCGCGATCGTCATATCCTAAGTGGAGATTTATACTTTCGAGAAGAGAACGAACATATGCCTAGAAATATAAAATAATTTATATAACAGACTTTTAATGTAAAAATTTTAACATTTTATATTAAGTATGTTTTTATATTTAAACTAATTTCACTATTTTTGAATTCTAATTGCTTAAATGTGTGTATAAATAGTTTTATAAAAAGAAAATATTAATTGCAAATTAACGATAACATGAAAAAGCTTTGAGAGACATATACAGTTAGTTGTGTGTAAGCCAACTTTCTGTAACATTAATTACAAATCTAATACATGTTACAAATCGTTTTTCTTGTTACTTTTTTAACATCAAAAATCTTTAATTAATAGTTAATTAATTGTAAATTATTCCAAAGTTTTATATAACAAACGATGTGGATAGCTTAGTACTTGTGAAACAAAATTATGACTGCTTTTTTAACTATGTATAAATTGGTGTTCTATACTTAGTTAACAAAACCAAACCTTGAAATAGGAATATGTCGCATCATGTCCAGTAAATCGCTTATTTAGATATTCAAAACCATTAAATGCTGCTTTAAAGGGCAGGTAATTTGTTTCTCTTTTAAGATAGAGCAATCCATCTAGAAGCGTATCATAATTTTGATATTTTGCTCTAGCCAGATTTAGTAGATCGTCTACAATGGCGGCTCTATTCAATACATGAATTTCGTTAAGATCTTCGTTTTTTAAGGTTTTGAAAATGTTCTTCCATCCAAGTTTGTTATAATTTACACGATAAAAACCTGTAATAAAAATATCACAGTTATTTTTTTAACAATTTTTATATAAATTACCTCAGAATTTATAATACTAATTAAACTAACTAAAGAAGATTTTTTGTTCCATATTTTTGACAACGTATATGTAAATTACCGCTTTGTAAAAATATGTCTTTCTTTCTATATAATTTATCTGATGAACTGATATTAATTTAACAATGAACGCATGATAATTACTTAATAATGCGGACATATTTATTATTATTATTATTATAAATGGTTTTGTAAATTATTTTTGTGCGGTTGAGAACGCTGTTCAGTACCAACCTGATGATTGAATGTTGAATACAACCCATTTTTCCGGATTAATATTATAATATGTGCTTTTGTTGTTAGACATCCAATACTTCGGGTGCATGTCATTGAAATCTGGGTTGTCTTGTGTAGTAAACGTGATAGGGATTTGCCAAATGATATCTTTATCGGTATTTTCCAAGTTTCTCAAAAGGAAACGTTCTTGAGTAATATCCAATATGCCATTGTCATTAATTGTGAATGATACAACGGGATATCCAGCTTTTGTAGTCCAGGTATCCATTACTGCTTTTACATCGATCTTTGATAGTGACGGATCTATTTCTGATTCGCTATTTATTTCTTCTTTTATTGCTACCCACAAAGCATCCGGATTGCTCAAACCTTTGTCTTTGCTAAAAGATATACTCTGTTTATAATAATTTCTTAATCATATCGAGTAAAAAAGACATGTTTAGTATAAAATATTAATAATTTATAATGTTTTTAATTTACATTTCAATTATTTATAATCGAATGTATTAATGTGTAAGTATTTTGCATCATCAAATAATGCTACAAGTCAATTTAAGATAATATTAAAGATTTATATGTTTATGACAGAAGAAATATGGTAATCGTCGGTAGTTGATTAACAAAATGAAGGATTATTAAACCACTTTAGATTGGCAGGCGTTTTATTTGACTTGTTCCGACGTTTCGACCATCCGGGTTGTGGTCCTTTTCAAAGAAATAAATATTTCTTCGTCTTCGTTAATATTCTACAAAATGCGGTAATATCTATCTCTGGGTGTCATTCGGAGAAACTATGTTGATATACAGGTTCTACTGTGGTCGTTACGTTGGCCGAGCCTTCCAATATAGTTTCTCCCACTGATGCCCAGAGATGGATGTTAACGCCTTTTTTAGGATATTAACGATGACGAAGAAATATTTATTTGTTTGAAAAGGACCACAACCCGAATGGTCGAAACGTCGGAACAAGTCAAATAAAACACCTACCAGTCTAAAGTTGTCTAATAATCCTTTATTTCATTTATATGTTTAATTAAAACAATACTAGTTTCTTTTTCTAATTTTGTCTTGTTACATTAGTTTCTTTTACAAATTATTTGATGTATTATCTTATATTGTTCTTAAAGTTCATTATATACAAAAATGGAATATTTGTTAATCAAATTAAATATGTTTAAAATACAGTTATAGTTACAGTTGATTGTAATATTTACTTGTTTTGTATGTATCTGCGTAATGCGTTCTCGAAAATCTCGGGTCCGAACAGGAGGCTCATCATACGAACTATACTGGCTCCCTTGTTATAGGTAATAGTATCTCCTATTCCTGCGATTTGCGATTTATTAAAAACGTCCCGAGTCATTGGAAGAGAAGATTCAAGTCCGTCCGCTATTAATGCAGTTTGATGTTGTTCCACCACGAATTGCTCTTTCATGCTCCAAGTTTCCTCGAGCTATAAACAAAACAAAAATGTTAGAATATAAAAGCAAAATTAGTTAAATACAATTTTAGTAAAGATGTAAAAAATGTAAAACAATTTTTACATATATGTATATCTTAATATTGTTATGGACATCTGGTAAATTCCAACAACTCATTTTTAAGAATATCAATGTATATTATAATATACGGTTTAAGCAAATCGTGTAAAACTGAAATTAATATTTATGAAAAGTTACTTAAACTTAATATACATACATACATATCTGAAGTTTCTTTTAAAAATTATATTTTAAATTTATATTTGATGTGCGTATATTGTATAATATATTGATAGTAGTCCTGAATATTGTTCTTACCTCCGCGGTACCGAAATATTGATAGTATCTGGCGAATCCTTCGCTAAGCCAAAGATAGCTCCACCATTCTGGTGTCACCAAATTTCCGAACCACATATGCGCAAGCTCGTGAGCGATCACAGAAGTTACGCTCTGCTTTGCTATCGCCGATGATTCTATCTCGTCGTATAACATCCGACTCTCGCGATATGTGACCAATCCCCAATTTTCCATGGCCCCAGCTGCGAAGTCAGGTACGGCCACCATGTCCATCTTGGTCAGGTTCTCCTTCTTATACGGTTCGTTGAATTTCTTCTCATACAGTTCGAGTGCTCGTCTTCCAACGTCTAAAGCGTATTGAGCTTGATCGATAGTGGTTGGTTTGGACCATACTTTAAATGTGACTGGACCTTCTTCTTTTTGATTTTTTTCTTTAAATATTTCATCTGGTGTTTTAGGAAGAGAATCAAATTCCGAAATGACAAAGGCCACTAAGTATGTGGACATTGGAATGCTTTCTTCGAAGATATCCCACATCTTGGTTCCTGGTTTCCTTAAAAGCAAATGGATCATATAATGCAAATGCATTAAAGCAAAAAAGGCTTATTCAGGGAAACAGTAGTAGTTATATTGTTCTTTGACACTTACAATCTCTCAGATTTTTCCCATGGCATATTACTGATGGTCTTATAATTTTCGTCTCTTGCTATACGGATCGTAAATTTTGCCTTAAAGCTTGGTTCGTCGAAGCATGGAAAGACATGTCTCGCGTGTGTTGTTTGAAATTGTGTTGCAGCTAGCCATCTATGGTGATGAGTAACAAAAATTGTATTACGAATTATCATAACGTTTTCAGGTGACCATAATATTTATAGTGCATATTTATTATTTCTTTTTGTTCTCATGAAAAAAATTCCATATTGATTTCTTACTTACTTAATCTCTCCGTTGTGGATGTATGAACTTCTATAAAATCCAATCATGTTGTCGGATAAAACTCCATTGTATGTGAAAGATATTGTTAATCTCCCACCTTCAGGGATGGTTTCGGGGAGAAGAATAGTATACTTTTCAGTAGTATTGTCATACAAAGTCGAATAACTATCAGCTGCATATGATGTTATAACCGAACACTTTATGTTTGTGAGGTTTCCCACGTGTAGTGTAACATTGTTAGTTGCACTTTTTGCGATAGCTTCAAGTTTTACGATGCCCTCAAAGGTTAAGTCTTGAAAGTTTGGTATTAACTTGATATCATACGAAATGGGATCAACGTCCTTTGGTAATCTGTAGTTGATGGAGTCGTCATTTTGTAAAAAATCTTCGTTTTGTCTAAGCGTACCTGGAGAATATGTATAAATTATCCCAAAATTGTATATTTGAAACTATTTTTTAAATATGTTGCAAAATAACAAAAGTGGCTATAATTTTGTATAAAGTGATTAGTAATTTGGATTACTGATTACTTCATGCAATAATATTTAAAAAATGCAAATTGATCAAAATGCAAAACTTGATTGGCGCATTTTATGGATTATGATTGCTAAAATATTACAATTATTAATAAAGTAATTGCAAAATTAATAAAAATTACTCAATACAACTCTAATATAATCAAATAATATGTGATTAATATAATTAAACGGTTTTTTATATGACATCGATCGTAATTTATTAAATTCTTCAAGACAAATTTTTTAGTTGCATTGATTTGAAAATATATACAGTAAAACAATTTTTTAAGTATACGTTTTATACATAAAATATTTGTTATTTGGTCATGTTTAACATAATTTTATAACAATATAAACTTCATGTAATCTTATAAAATTAAAACGATTTCATAATTTATGTATTTTATATGTAAATCTGGGAAAATCTTATATGTAATCTTGTAAAATTAAGATAGTTTATTTTATAATTTGTAAGTTCTAAAGTAGATGTTGCTCGAAAAAAATATAATTTTGTATATTTTTTAGAAATTTAGAACATTAGGTATTCAAATGGTTTTTATAAATACTGTTTAGAGAAATTGTTATAAATATAAAATGTAATAGACAAAATATAACACATAAAATATAAATAGTATTACCATCGTAAATGGTAGATTTATCTGCTACGTTTCCATTGAGTAATGTGATTAGGGTGCAAAGTAACAAATGTCCCCGCGAGATCCTCATCTGAAAGGTAATTGTACAATCTCTCTTGATATTATGAAATTGCAGAAAAAAGTTATATGTAGTTATATAAATACATATAGATTATTTAATTAACAATTGATTAAGTACACCGTATTAATTTTTCGTGACCCTGGCAGAAATGTCGTGCAGTTACTAGACAGTTGTATTAACTTTTGTCTAGTAACTGAGAAGTAAAACTACTTGCAATCCCAATCAAGATGTAACGTTTTTCTTACAGTTACTGCACATAAAAGTTGCGCAAAAACTGAACCCATTGAACAAGAACAAAAATAATAAGTATTTTAATAAATAATAATCTAATTAATACTAGACAATAACTGGGCAAATGTCTAAGCAAACTGCATATATTTTTACCGGAAGAACTGCTTCAGCACTGACAAATAAAAACTCTATCAAGTTGTTATCCAATTTCTATGTAGTATTGTTAGAATTAATGAGAATGCAGTAATACTAGACAGTAACTGGAAGGGTGTCTAGAGAAACTGCATGCATGTCTATCAGGGGACATCATATTTAAATGAATTAATTTGTTTTGATTATTACCGCAGAAGAAAAAACGCTTAACAAAAGATTGTTAATAGATTTGTGCTTACACATATTGAATCAAACGGGAACTGAGAAAATTCAATTAAAATTTTCTACACATAAACTTATACCATAAACACGATACCTTTTCGAAAGTTGAAACTATTTAAAAATTAATCGCACTTACCTTTAAATGTTTTATTGCGCTTATGACTAGTATTGCTGTTTTTTCATGGTTATTTTACGTTATAAACTCTTCGTAACTTTATCTGAACAAGTTTTTTGTATCCGCAAATATCACATCTGAGAACAATTATATTTCACTTTTCCTAAGTTTTCAATTTCACTTTTAAACAAAGTAAGCTTGGTGCTGAGGGAGTCGGTCGCACGTCTATCGTGGATAGTTAATGTATCCGATTTTCACAGTACGTTTCGAAATGAATATGTCGCGCGAACAGTTCGCGATCGAATGAGAGAATGTTGAGTACGTTTTGCTCTTCGTTACTATGTTGAGATTATCTATAATATCATCGATATCTTATCACAGGCTGGTTAATGACGATGCCATCATTTTTTTTCATATACAATCATGTTATCACATGTATCTTTGCTTGCACAAAACGTTACGTGCTAGTGAGAAATCTTAATTAAAGATCTGGAAAAAAAGTTTCGCTAGAGTAACAAGCAGATTATAGTTTTTTTTAGTTCTAAAGATAACAACTTGAGAGATTTATATTAATTGCATTACTACAATTGTTTGTGCGGAAACTATTCACAAATTAATCTATAGTGATGCCCTAGATTAATGATAAAGTTTCCGCGCAATAACTTTATCAAATTACACTTAGAATCTTATAAAATCATTTATAACGTTAATAAATTTGCCTTGAAGTAAGTAGATTAGTTCAATAATGTCCGGAAAACCCGTTCAAGTGTATCATTAAATTACCAAATTATTTTATAGGATGAAGTTTTGCAATTGTTTGAGAATTGTAATATCAAACAATCGCATTTGAAGAGAATCCACAAACACGCGAATCAAGTTTTACATTATATTCTACAATTAAAATCTGCATTCATTCATAATTATCTTTGCGATAATCAAGAAGTCTGACAAATAGCATACCTTTTTATAGAATAGAGTACACTTGTAACGAAAAGAATGTCAACGTAATGCGCAATATTTGATAATGGAATGGAAACATATTTAAACAATGCTGAAATCTGTTTCTTTTAAATATATTTAACACAATTTCTTTTCTTTGTCTTTAAAATATATAATCTTTACTTGAAAGCTCAAGTAACGTTCTATTATTATACAATTGTCAAGAACGTAAATTTTAATATTATTAGCGACGATGCAAATATGAGTATAGTACAAATTATTTTATCCAGTTTTTAATTTTTTCTAAGTAGTTGATATACGTTAACATGACTTTTGTGTTTTATATTAAAAGATTATTTTAATATTACAAAAAGAATTATTTGTTTTGCGACCTTTGAGCGAAACAATCTTGAATATCAATTATCTGATGGTTTTAAATATTAATCGAATTGTGTTTCCTTTTAGATATTGCAGAAATGATACATACATTATGTTATGGATAAGAATAGAGAAAGTATTGAACTTTATATGCATTTAATTTTAAGAAAATATAGAGAATTAATTCATAATTATGGCAATTGCAACAATAATTTAATACTTTTGCTTGATATTTATAATAACTGATATGTGAACGAATTGAGTAAGAAGTATCTTTTGTATCTTTACACTTTTTAGAGTGTTAAATTATGTATTGAATATGACATATTTATTTCACATTCTTTTATACATACGATTTTATAATTGTGAACTCTATAGACGTCATAATCTACAAATCATGTCATTTTATCTTATCTGTTCAACGATATTGTGAGATCATAAATTATCGAATCTGTGTTCATTATATACAAGGTGTCAGATTCGTTATGGACCGAAATAAAAATTACGGTAGATTGGCTCAAACTGAGAAGAAAAGTTATGTAACATTTTATAAAATTTGCAATAATTATCGTGTAATTAATAAAAATGCCCGATTCAATGAGCACACAAGGTATGGAAGACCGGACTCAGAAGGCATGCAAAATGGTTATATGCTGGAGAGTTGTCTGTTTTCCAAAATGCTGCGAAATTGTGATAAATAATCTTTCATTACGACTAGCATTTCTTCTCTAGTCTGTAAATCCTTTTCTATATCGATCTTATGCTGTTCAGCAAATAGTTTTATCTGAAACACACAGCAATATTTTATAACTGTAGATAAAGTTATAAAGAAACAGTTAACTATGATAAATAATGATATTATCTAACCTTGTTAATTTGATCTTCCTCGAAACTTTTCATAATTATAGAACGAAGAATTGATGGAATATTGACACTGTAAAATATATTACAAAGTAATTTAATTACCATTGAATATAATATTATGGCATTAATATATGTATAGATGTAGCATTATACGTGGCATAATATATATGGCGTTTTTATAAGCAGAAAGTATGTATACATACGAGTATACTTAAACGGTTTGTTTATGCATATATTAGCTTTTGTTTTATATCAGTACAATTGTATATTGTATGTTTTTACGTATTGGTCATGTAAAAAGTTCTCGGAATGAATTGATTTTTGGAATAAACAGATAGCCGTCACACATAGACATCACATGTTAAATAAAATATTCCATCCTTCTATGAACACGTTTAAAGTTAGTTTATGAAATAGATTCATTTTCTATAGATCTTTGAATAAATATATCTGCGTGATTTTTAAAAATAAATAAATTCGAAGTACCACTATGCCTAAGTATCGACGAAGTAAGGTGCGACATGTTGTTATATTCTCCTTATTCACTTGACTCCGTCAGACTTCTAATTATTCCCATGATTGAAGAAATTCTTTAATAGAAAAAGATTTTCGAGAACTTCGGTTTTTTTGCACCCTTTCTACCTAACCAATGTAGAAAATTGCGTGACGACCCATGGCTGGCAAATTCTAATTAAAGAAATTCATTGCGAAAAATAATACCTCAGCCAGGGTTTGAACCTGGACCTCCCTACACTCTAGGCGGGCATCTCAACCAATTCGATCACCTAGGCATGTGGTATAATATTTATCGCAATAAACAGTACTACTGATGACAAGTTTTCTACTTAATAAATCGGAGTTTCGTAACGGGATGATGATTGTGGAATATAGGTGCATGATATAAAGGAGATTCAAGTGCATTGATATAAAAGAAGAGGATATGTTAAAAAATTAAAATAATTATAAAAAAATTAAAACTTTCTGTTTTCTATTTTAGTCCGAGAATTTTTTAAATGGCCTTTGTATTATCTTACAGTATGTGTATAATTTAAATAATGGATAAGTAACATATATAATTTTACTTACTGTTCAGCAAATTTCTCGTAATTATTGATGCAAAATTCAATTGCTGTATCTATGTTTGGCAAACTATTGATCATGTTACGGATGAGAATCATAATAAATGTATTCACATTGCCAGAAAGAGAATTTAAATGCTTTTCAATAATATGCGAATTTTCCGAACAACCAAGAAACATATGAGATTTTGATATTCGCTGTTCTATTTGTAGAAATTGATCCCAGACAGATTCATTGGCCTTCATCAGACCGAAACAAAACATCAATTTTTGATTCCGTGATGGTCTAGTATAAAATTAGAATAATTAAAATTCATTTAGTTAAAAATGTATAATGTATTAAGAAATACTTTTATTATATTTTATTATTTTTTAATAAAATATAATGCGGCTGTTTAATTAACTTTTTAATTTGCGCAGCAATTTAAATTATAATTTACATAATATTTCTTTAGTGTTAATAAAATAGTTATATTTTAATCGAAATTGAACAGAATTGTAATTAACTTACATGTTAATTCATAAACAATCTAATTATGCAAAATATACGTTAATCTATAGAAATGTTTTAAAGATCATTTCATAATTCATGGATAAAAATTCATCGAATTAAATTTCTAAAAGTAATGATTCAAAATTTAGTAGTATTTTGTAGATAAATAATTTTTCTGAAGAAGCTGACTGTATGTAAATTGGCATCATACATACATTTGATAAAATTTCAAAAGAAACAATGTTTTTCAAATTTATATTTTTAAAAATAAAACTTACTGGTTTGCGATTGGATCTTCTATATATGCAATTAATTTAGCAGTAGCTTCTGTTGGACATTTAACAAGTCCATACATACAGTCATAATGGTACAAGTCGATTTTAACACGTTCAGTCAAGAGATCATCATCAAGATTCTCTCCAAAATCAATTTTTTCCATTAGTTTATGCATCAAGTTGGATACAAATGGCTTAAAAAGAATATTTTATAGTAATTAAGCAATAGATTAAAGATGTGTACTCAGAAATCTTTTCTTTATCTAATTTTTTTCTTAATAGTTCACTAAGAAAAATTACAATTAATATTTTTTTAAGTGGTAGATTTAATTAACAACAACACATTTGATTTAATCAAAGAATATACTAATCTTACTTTTCCTCATTAAGTTCATTAAATTAAAATATTTACTTTTTAAATAATATCACGTGATTTGATTATATATTTTACCTTAATAATTGCTGCTCCTTCGGGTAATTGCAAGTAGTTATCTAATTTCTCAAGGATTATGAGTGCTCTGTGCCATGGTGCAGTATCAGTTTCACGTGACAAATAATTTATAATTTCAATGAAAGTAGCAAGGTCAAGCCGTTTATTTGCCATCATGTAAAAAGCATCATCGAGAATTCGTGCACGGTTCAGAACTGGGATCTTGTCGTAGTTTTCAGAATTGAGAAAAGCAGCGATTCGTTTCCAATTATTTGTATCGTAATTTACACGATAATATCCTGTTTTATCAAGAATAAAAATAATCGATTAATTGATCAATTGATTTAACATTTTTTAACATATTTTTAGTACTTAACAACTTTTTATAATAATAATTAAGAAAGCGGTGTAATTTAAAATAATGGAAAGTTTAAGAAACAGGTATAATAAAACTAAAAGTCATGTACCAGTCTGCAAAATAGTTATTGTGTAATTAATAAAAATGTCTGAGCAAATGAGGGCACGAGAAGACCGGACTCGGCAGGTATGTACATGATTTTCTTTCTCATTGTCAGTTTGACCCAATCTACTGTCATTTTTCGGTTGGTCACTAAGAAATTAAACACCGTATACATATATTAAAATAGATTTACCTGTTACGTGCTTATTTACAATAATCCAGTCGTTAATGTCTACTCCTTCGATTGTTACAAACTCATCGTGTGGTTTTAGCCAATGGGTGGCTAACGTAGACGTAAAGTCTAAGTTACTTTGCGTTGCAAAGTTCAAAGGAATCCACCATGCCTCGTTGTTCTCGTCGTCCTTGTCGTTCTTGTCGTTATAATTGTCTGTCTGGTATTTGAATTTTTCTTGACTTATTTTAATATTGCCTGTAGCATAATCTCGGTTGACGGTAACAAGAGGATACCTCGCTTGCTCGAACCAAGTATCCATCACTTCTTTCACTTTAAAATCATCATGCGGAACATCTGACTCATCGAGAGCTTCTTGTAATGCTTTCCATAAATCATCTGGTGTAGCGCTGCTATATTCACTAGAAATCAACATGATTTGCGTATATTTTGAAATTGTTGATACTTTTAACTTCTAATTTTGTTATTTGTTTTCACGTATAAAAGAAAGAGTATAATGAACTAATAAATTTTTTAAAAATTTGTTGTTACTAACTGTTCCTGAAGATATCGTAACAAACCATTTCGGAACACATCTTCGCTCAAAAAATGTGATGCCATTCGCAATAGGAAAGCAGCTAAAAGATGAGAAGTATAACAGGTTAAAATATTTTGTGAGAAAATTACTTTTCTAAAAAGAAAGGCAAGTCGGCTACGTTCCGACATCCGATAGCGACGTATGACATATGTATTAGGCCTTATAGAGATTCTTAAGTCTTTTCAGACGTAAAGAAAAGATGGCTATAGTATTATGGAATGAAAAAAGAAAAATAGTGAAAATGAAAATAAAAAAGGCTACACTACAGTGATTAAAAAAAAAAGTAAGTTTCCGTTACATTAACAGAAGAGAAAGAGAAATCGGTACCAGCCTGTTATCAAAAAAAGTAACTTATAACGGTAACGGCGTTACTTTCATACCCTGCTATTATTATTTCTAAGGGGTCAATATAAAAATTTCTTACCTTTTACATAAGTTTTGACAGAATACGCTTCACGAACATTTAGATGGCTAGTGATGTTTATGTGAATCGGTTCAGAGGAAGAAGAATCTATTTCCAGCATAAGTTCTTCTTGATATACTATGATAAAATTCATCAATTGCTTTTCTTTGAGAAACTGAGAAAATTAACATTATAAGACAGATGAATGTATGGATGTTTTGATTGTACAATCTGTGCTGGTACCTTGTCAGTAATAAAATATTTCAGATAAGTTGATATGCCTTCGCTCAACCAAAGATACTTCCACCAAATTGGGCTGACTAAATTTCCGTACCATTGATGCGCTAATTCATGAGTAATTGTCATAACATCCCATATTTTATCAGTACTTGAGTGTAAGTTCTCGTCTTCAAGAAGTACGTTTTGTCTTAAAATTTTTACATACAAATTAATGATATATTAACAAAAAGATACATCAAGTTTAAGGAATTTGTTATACTATATGTATAATTTAAGCCTTTAAACAATTGTTAAGAATATTTTACAATTTATTACCTACAAATCTTAATTATATAAACGTTAGTCCTAATTAGGAATTATTTTTCTTAGTGGAAAAATAGAAGTATTTGTACTCACTTATAGGCAATCATGCCCCAGTTCTCAGTGGCTTTACTTGAATAATGTGGAACGCTAACATGATCCATTTTCGGCACACGATAGGTGCTATTGATGAATTTTTCCAACTCCTGGGTTGCCTTTTCAATAATGTCGAGAGAATATGCAGCATGAGACAGAAGGTGTCTTGGGCCCCATATTTTGATGGTACCGTCTAGATTTGAAACATAATCGTAATCAGCGATCACGAATCCTAATAAGTTGGTGGACATGATAGGAGTTGTCTCGAAGTATGTCCATAATTTTCCGTCAGCTGCATCAATTTCCGATCGCGTGGATGGCATATTCGATAACGCTGTGTAATTAGGATAGTGTTTTATGGAAAATTTGAAGGTTGCTTTTATGGCAGGCTCGTCCCAACACGGAAACGCTTGTCGCGCAGAAGTTGGTTGAAAATGTGTTACTGCTAACCATCTGTAAAATTCATTATAGTTTGCTTCATTTTCGTACACGAAACAACTCTCTGGCCGGTATTCATAGTCAGATCTTATATTCCAGACCGTCTTAGGTTCATCTTTAGATATTCTGTAGCCAATAAAATGTTCCATACAGCAACGTTAGATAAATTCAAGATAGTCTTGAATATAAGATCTGACTATGAATACCGGCCTCTGTGTTGGTGTATAAGTCATTATACACTTACTCTGGCAAGATAGAGACAGATTTTGTTGTAATTAAATAATTAGAGACAATTAAATACTACTTAAAGTGTTATAATTATTTAATATTCTGTTAATTCTCGTATAACATTTTCATATCTAAATTTTAATTCTTTCATGTCCTTTTGTATGTATATGTATAGTATAAAAATTATGGTATTGAACTTGAAAGATTTTTAAACGTAAAAAGAAAAGTGTTTTTGTCAGATTAATACTTATTTAATTAATACTAATTAGATACAGATTAATGAATGTTTTTGACTTAATTTATTTTCACATTTATGTTATACATATAATATGTATATGTAGTTATGGTATAAATTATTAATAATTAAAATAACCTTTTATAATAATTACTTACACCTTATTTCCTTTGTCGTCAATGTAGAAACTTTTGTAAAATCCGTGTGGCTCCGTGTGCGGGAGTATCACGCCTATGAAATTAATATGCAGCGTATAAGTACCGACATCCAGCGACTCCTCAAATCGTAGTGTCAGAATTTGTGTTTGCTCGTTATATTCATGCTGCTTCGGGACATACTCCGATTTAGAATTCTCGTCGTCTACGCCCTTACGAGTTATCTTCGTCAGCGATTCGTCTATTGCGAGTTTTACGGCGTGTAAAGCAATAGTGTTCGTCGGTTCGCGCACTTCGATATCGATGCTCGTTTCGCCATTAGTGGTGAAATTACTGTCTACAATATGAGGTATTAATTTTACGTCATAATGAATGGGTACGACATAGTTTGATAGACGAAATTGATTCTCTTCAGAAGCTTTCACTGCTTTATCATCCACTGTTTCATTATCTTGAAGAAGAACACCTTTACTAATTACAAATAATAGAAATATTGTCAATAGACTTTTGACGATTGCCATAACGTAATTACTTCTGCAGCGATTATAAACACTTATTTCTAAAAGACAAAACGATTTTCTTGCATATGATTTAGCATGTTGCAAGATTGTATTTATATGCCATATATGTGCTTAGTTATGCGAAAATATCTTTTTAAAAAAGTATTATCGCTTGACCATGTTACTATAGATTCATAGGTCATCAAGATAGTAAAAGAAAGATATATCTCTAGTAAGTAAAAGAAGTAGCTCTTATTGAAAAATTTAATTCAAGAAATATACTTAATTTTTGAAAGTAAAACAAAACATTTCTACCTAACATGTAAAAATAAGTTAATTATTATGATGACATTTTGACAAACTAAACATCACCGATTTCTTACACAATTACGATATTTTTTTACACTTTTACTTTCAAAGAATTGATTTTCATCAGAAATGCCTATTGCTTCTCATATTGGTATTTCTTTAATCTGTTATCTACGTACTTATACACATAACGTGTTTAACGTCCCGAATGACAATAATTTTTCCGTTGACTCTCAATGTAAGGTATAAATTTGCTGTGATAATCTCTGTTAACCTCTATTACGTAAATTGCATTCACAGCACGATATAATACTTTTTCTTATATGCTATACATTACGATAAAGAAATATCTCATCTGATAATGATGAAATCTTAAATGCTACTTCCGGCAAGGTAATTAAGTGTTTGTTACAAAATACATATACGAATCCGATATAAAAGTGTAATAGATAAATGCGGTTGTTTTACTCTTCTAATTAGGTATAAATATATAATATATTATACATATATTATACATATATGTTAACTTTATTTCTTGATACTCTGAATACATAAAATCTAACTATTAGCATGCAGAAATTAAATTAAGGAAATATTGATATATTTTTACAAGAAATATGTACATACTTGTCTTATGAAAATAAACAAAAGATACACATATGCGATTATTTTTGCATAATTATATATTCTTTTCATATGCTAATTGCATGTATGTACATAATCTGTTAATAATATCTTTACATTATTATTGCACATAATATTTTAAAATAGAATATAATTAGTAGTAACTGTGTTTACTTCTTAATCGATCTGTTTTAATAATTTAAATGCAAGTATTTAAATAAATGCATCTAATGACTTCAATGAGGAAAATTTCCATTAGATAAACCAATTAAATATTATTTTCGATGGTTAATTTTTCTCTTCTGATTAAATTATGAATATATTATATATCCGATAAAATGGGGTTGATAATAACATTTTATCGAAGAACCGATCGCATCCTTCATCGCATATACAATTTAATCGGATATATCCATGTGTTACAATGTAATTGGATTATACGAATATATTTAATTAGACACTTTTCTTATTATTTGCTTATATCATATTTTTACATTATATTATTAAATAATAATTATAATAATTCTTATTAAGTCGATTCTTTATATTATAAATTGACGAAGTTATTGATAAAGATATTAAAATCTATTGATAATAAAATCTCTAAAATGATACAGATATATTAAAATCTGTGATATTAAAATCTATAAAAGAAATCTATTGCGATGTAATATTTGTAAATAAGTTTACACTTTTATGTTCTAACCACCCACGAATTTTGTTTACTATTGTCTCCGTTAACTCTATATTTTGCTCTTGAAGTTTTAGAATTTGTGGTACTTTCATACCAAGTTTATTTAAAAAGGCTTCTATCTGAAAAGGAGTATTTTAAGTATAGTATTTTAGCATTTAAAATACATATATATAATACTTTGTACATATATACATATGTACAATTCTATATAAGCTGTAAAAATATATTATATTATATTATTTTTTAAATATATTTTGTATAAATTTAAACTGCAAAATGTGTACCTTTTGAATTTGTTTCCTAGACACAATATACCAACTAACATCGTGCAACAAATCTGTAGGATCGTCAACTCTGTGATAAAAAAATTCAATGCGTTAGCCACATAATTTTGTGAAAAAATGTGTGCAGTTCTCTAAATCAAATATAAGATTGTTACCTAGTTATTAGTTTATCCCAGTGATTCACAATAAAATCTATCACCATATCAACATTTGGAAAATCTCCATTTAATACTGAGTCGATAACACGATGAATATCATTCTTCGCGAATGGTGAATCTTCTGTTATGGTCATATTTAGGAATTTCTCGATAATATTTCGATTTTTAGAGTGCCCAAGACAATACAATGTAGGTTCAGACAGGTTCGTGTACATATAAAGCACTTTATTCCAAATAGTTTCATTCGCTTGTTTTATGCCGTTACAGAATATCCATTTCTTCTTGTGAAATGAAGTTCTAAAGCAGAATTTAAAAATATATTATCCGTTATAAAAGTATTCTCGCTACCATTTATTTTAAGTATATAAAAATAGTTTCAAAATGAGATAAAGACAATTTCCGCATAGCAAATTATTTTAATAGATTTATGTAGAGGAAAGTCCTCTGTTATGAGATAGCAGATTTTCAACGTCCAAATTCAGTCACAAATCTTTCTTTGCAACGATTACACGATCGAACAATCAATTTTCCACTAAACAGATTTCACTCCAAGGGCAACAAATTCATAATGGAACCAACAGATGATGCCTATTAATTTAGCAGAAACTCCGCTATATTGTGTTAGGAGCCTATCTTATAACAGGGAGCTTTCCTCTATTATTTATTTTCCTTTTACATACAGAATATTTTATATTTACCTATTCGTAAGCACCGTCGGATTATCCAAATAAACAAGTAATTGATTATAGGCTTCATGTAGACATGTAGGGTGGTCGGAGGCACATGTATCCTTAAAAATTGCACTTCTTGTTAATTTTGTAAAATAATTGTCATTCGGATGATCCTGCACACCTACAGTTTCTACTATATTATTCATCGAGTCCAGAACGTACGGCTATAATTATACAAATTTGATTAATTTTGCTATGTATTTGGAATAAATTATACTGTAGAACGTTTTAGAGGTTTCAAATTAATTAAAGATTAGACTTCTTTCTAATTTTCTGTGTAGTGTTGTGTTTGGAAGACTTTTTCTCATTTTTACACAAAGATTTTATGACCTGTTAAAACATAATTTACCTTAAGCAATTCACCTCCTCCATTGTAAGCAAATATTTTAGTTGTGTCTTTCAAAATTTTAAACAATGAATACCATACTACATAATCTGTTTCACGCCGTAAATATTTTGTGATCTCCATGAAAATTCTGGGATCTAATTTATCCGTGAACATAAGGTGAATTGCATCGTTAATTATCCATGCGCGATTCAGTACATGAATTTTTGTGTAATTTTCGGAATCCAAATAATCAGCAATTTTTAACCAGTTTATTGTGTCATAATTTACACGGTAAAAACCTGCAATTATTAATATAAATTAAATTTATATCTAATATTATCAAATATTAAATATTTAGGTTAATATCTAAAGTACTTATTGTTAGATTCATTATTTCTGCAATATAATTAGCATATGTATAAAAATATTAACGGACAGATTTACAGAGAGATTTATAAAGACATATGTATATCATATAGCTGTGCACGCATGCGCGTGCGCGCGTGTGTGTGTGTAAATCTTACCAGTTTGTTGAATGTTCACTATGATCCAATCTTGCGGGTCGATACCATCGATGACAAGTTCCTCAGTTTCTGGGGACAACCAGTGTGTAGCTAAAGTTGACGAGAAATCCGGATTGGCGTGAGTTGCGAAATTTATTGGAATCCACCACCTGTTCTCAGTCTCTGCACCTTTGATATTCTTACGTATACTCATTTTTTTATATGGTTGAAAATATTCCTGTGTCATCTTTACTTTTCCAGTATGTTGATCTCTAATTACTGTTACAAGAGGATACCCTTTCTGTTCTATCCAGGTGCTCATTACTTCTTGAATTTTGAATTTGTTCTGTATCGCTGATTCATTAAATGCATCTTGCAAAGCGTCCCATAAATCTTCAGGCTTGGCTACACCGTACTTGCTAATAATTATTTATTTTTACATAAATGTCCATTTTTTAAAATAATATATTAAAGCTATAATAATTATTACAATTTCTATTATAACAATTTTATGAGATACATTTACCGCACAAGAAGCCATAATACAGACAGTATTCTAATGTATAACACATTATACATTATACATTATAAAGTAAAGCGTAATTATAAATGAAATGTAAATTTTTATTATTACACCACGCAGCGTTATAAAGTTTTATTAAATTTATTATAATACGTTAGAAGATTGTTATACTGTATTAATAGCTTCCATCAGTACTAAAATAATAGTAGCTTAATAATTTGATTGTGTTGGAAAGAAAAAGAAAAGAGATTAGAATTAAGGAAGAAAGAAAGAGTGTTAGAGGGTAGAAATGGAAAGTAAGATATTAGAATATTAAGAAATAGATGTGAAGTAATAGCGTGGGCTGTGATTAATTAAGTTATATTTTGTTATATTATTTCGTTTATAGAATACGTGTACGGTTTGAGGTATGAAGCATGAGTGTGGTTAAGTACTTGATAATAAACCAAGTCCCGCGTCTTGACTGTATGGTGAAGTGAATTAACGAATTCAATAATTCAATATTTATAAAATAGTAATTTTACTAACTGCTTATCAAGATATCTGACGAGTCCGGCGTGGAATACATCATCAGAAATACAATGTGAAAGCATTCGTAATAGCAGAGAAGCTGAAATAATAATCGTATTTCTTTAGGAAAAAAGAACCTGAGATTTTTCTTAACAAACTTTAATTTTAGCAAATCTCTGTGAGAAGAAATACATTACCTTTGCGATTATCTCTCTCGCGCGACGAAGATTTTAAATTAATTTCTTGAATAGTATTAGGCTCCAAATTAAGAGGTTGTGTATGTTCCAAACTGTCCGTAAAAAGTATTGAATTCAGTGACTTCATAACTAAAAAGTTCGTGACTCGCCAATCTTTATATATCTAAATAGAAATAATCTCTTTAATATTTTTGAATATTTATAATAAATGTATCTTATTGAACAAGTACAGTAGACACTAATTCTGACGCTTTCTTTCCTTTAGAACTTTAGGTAGATGTGACATAAGAAAGTTGTAAATGTATTTTATAACAACTATTATGTGATGGATGTGTAGATTTTTGAAACAATGTTGAATCGCGGTATAAAACAAAATGCATTCGTGAGTTTTGTTATTAAATTTCTACCTTATCAACAATGTAATACTTGAAATATTCAGCAAGTCCTCGATTCATCCATATATTAGTCCACCAGGAAGGACTAACAACATTACCAAACCATTGATGGCTTGATTGATGAATGATACTGTCTGCAATTCTATACAATGCATCGATCGAACTACTATGTTCATCGTACAGTATTGTGGCTTCCCTGAAGATAACAATTATTGTACACATATGTGTACAAAATGTACATAGGAATCTTATTTCATAAATATTCTAGAGTAATTTTCTAGAGACATTATTCCAACATGTAATTTGTTGAATCAAACTACTCCATTTTTCAAATGTGCTAATTAAAAATACATAACTAAAAATACGTTATCAAAGCGAGAGAATCCAGACAGCATGTATAAAAGACGTGTTTATGACGTTTTTTTATATAAATTCGCGTGCTGCCTGAAAATATTTTTACAGATAAATATTTTATGTGCTGATAAACTTGTGATATTACAAAATAATAATTGTTTATCGTACAAGATATTAAATCTTTTAATAACCTTTTAATTCCTTGTATAAAATTAATGTAATATGCTTTTTATGCAAATAGATTTTTAAATCCAAAGCATTTACAAGATATCATATCATCGATTTAATATGTGATGTTTTATTCTTCTGTATCTATGTTACTACGTTTCTATACTAATATTGTTGCATTACCTGTAAGTGATAAGCCCCCAACTTTCCATGTCCTTATTATATCCAATAACATATCTGTCAGGAAGCGCAACGTGATCGATTTTAGCCAACCGAACGGAACTGTTAGTGTATCGTTTCAATTCGATCGCCGCTTTCTGGGCAACTTCGTGGGCGAAGCTCGCCGAGGAAATTACGTTGCCTCTACTCCAGACGTTGATGGTTCCATCGGAATTGCTTATATTACGAAGATCGAAGATTAGGAAACTGACTAGGTACGTCGATATAACAGGCGATTCTTCAAAATGTGTCCATATCTTTCCGTCACTCTCGTCGATTTCCGACTCTTCGGAAATCGGCATGTTCGAAACGGCCGTGTAATTGCGATGGTGCTTGACAGCAATCTTAAAAGAGGCCTTCAGTGCCGGCTCGTCCCAACAAGGAAAAGCAGCACGCGCATAAGTTGCCATGAAATTTGTTCCCGCGAACCATCTGTTCAGATTTCAATTGTTATTATATCACATTAAAGAATGAATTGGTTTTTCGTGTTATTGGTAACGTTATTTATTCATGTCACTATTATTTATTATTTTTCATATGTAAATTTAAAAACTGATAATATAAAGAATTATTTTATGCTTACACTGTCTCTCCTGCCTCATTGATATAAGAACTTCGGTAAAATCCATTTGAATTCAAGTCGTTCAGTGTACCAGCAAATTTCACATACAAAATATAATGTCCAGCAGGCAATTCCTTCTCAAAACCAAGAGTCAATAATTCGGTTAGATTATTACTGTCATATGTAGTAGGAAAGTAAAAGTCAGATCCAGAGTTGGCTTTCAGAAAGGTTGTGTTTCCGTCTATTGTCAGTTTCTTCATGTGCAGCGTGAGAGTTGTCGTTTGCCTCAGAATCTCAATGCGAACGAATACTTCGCCGTCAAATGTAAAGTTGCCCACCGTGAGATGCGGGTTTAATTTAAGCTCATAGAATAACGGTTTTGTGTGATTAGGTAGCCGATAATTTATCTCCTTAGTGTCCGGATTTGAATCTTGAATAGCAGCGGCGTCTGTCGCGATGAATGCAACGGCGCAAATGCAAATGATTTTGTACATCAGCATTCTGAAACAATAAAATAATCATGTTAAGTTTATCATAGACATTAATCGAGACGTTTTCCCTGAAAATCTGCACATGAAAGAAAGTAATTCTCTTGTGTATGCAACTTAAATTCACTAATAAACAATTTGAGCTTTTCGTATAAAATAATGTGAAAACTATAATGTGAAAAAATTGAAATTATTTATTGTATAAAATATTATTTTACATTACTTTTTGAAATATGATAATGATAGATAGTTATTTTAACTTAATGTTTAATATCTTAACAGAACGCACGTGTATAATACCTTATATTCGCTGAAACGTAGTCTTGAGTTATCAGAAGAGCGTGGACGTAATACCGCAAAGTATAACAAATGCAATGTGGAAATACGTCTCCTCGTCAAAACAGCTGACGTGACCGCAGGGTCAATTAAATGGATTAGGCATATTAAGCAATAGCGGGTATCACGTTCAAGGCTGAAGTTTAGCTTTACATAATTTCCACAAAACAATAGTAACTGCCTTAATGAACGTAAATAATGTTGGTTAAATATCCAATTTATTAGCATAATAAATGAATAAGTTAGACATGTTAATTAATGTGCGATTCATACAGTTTTGTGGATATCAAAAGTAAGCTAATTTAGATCGTCGTATTAATTTTTTATAAATAATTATAAAAATATACTAAATTATTATTTACTTAGTTATAGAACGCTATATCTATTATCTCTAAATAAAAATACAAAATTTGTAAAAAAAAACCGTTATTAGAAGATAAATTCAGTTGAACTCAGTTAAAGAATTTTTAATTCGGACATTTAAAAAATTTTCCTGTACAAAACGTATAGCAAAACACTACCAAGTTTTAAAGCGTTTATTATTTTTTATATAGAAATGAACTAATTACATCAATGGACATTTATTGCTACATTACTCTTTTTGTATACTTACTTTGTTAACCGTTGCGAGATCCTGTGACGACAGTAGCGATTCTACTAGTTGAGACAGGTACTAATTCCTTTATATATAAGCTTTGCTACACTTTTCAGAGGCGTTTGACGTTAATAAAGTATGATCTTTTCGAGGAAGCAAAGATCACACTTTATTAACGTCAAACGCTTCTGAAAAGCAACAAAGTGGATTATACATACATATGTGTATAAAGAATTAGTACTTGTCTCAACTAAAAGAATCGCTACGAGAAAATTTTTCAAAATGTGCGAAGTTTGTAAATTTTTAAAATCATTTCAACAAAATTTATCCTCTACTACACGCATATGCGCATTTGCAATATTAACAGAAATAGTAGTAAACACACTTGTATTGACTAATATTTAAGTCTAACAATAAGTACCCTATATAAGATATTGTACAAAAAGAATGTTAAGGAATATTATTTATTTAATTATCTTAAACATTGACAAAAAATAATTACATAACTGATGTATAATTATAAAATGAACTGAAAATGTAAAAACAACTGAAGATTGATGTAATACAACTTTTTACTAATACTTCAAATATTTATACACAGGAAATATAATAACATGCAAACCCAATCTTAGATATATTCGATATACCTTATGAAATACACCTTTTATTTATGTATACCTAGCTAATTAAAATTGCACTGTGCTATAAAATACAATATATTAAAATAAAAAATAAAAGTGAGATAATATAAAATTACTTACATACAAAATGTTTAATTTCTTCTTGACCAATCGAAAAGTGATAGTAAGTTGGGCCAAACTGAGATTCTTTTCAGAAAGGTCAGGTATCATTTTGCACAACTTCTCAATTATTGAGTAATAAATAAAACCGTCTAAGCGAATTAGTGTATGACAAGCGATAGGCCGAACTCAGTAGGCATGCAAAATAGTTTATTTGTTTATAGCTGCGGTCTACTTGATGCCGCAAATGTTTCACAGGGTCTTTCTTCTTCTTCTTTCTTTATTAAAGGAAAGGATAAGAAGAACGTTTGTAGCATTGATACCATCAAGTGGATTTATTATAAGTTAAAGAGGAAGGGAGTTTCTGGTGAGTGCCAAAACTATAATGTCAGAAATACCGGTAGATACAGATTTATTTGTGTTATATATATTTTCTTTTATTATAACTTAATTTGACTTTGTCCAAGGTCTCTTCTATCTTTCAGTGTAGAGGAAATATCAGTGAAATTCACTTCACGTAGCTCATTTCCCATCTGAAAGCAGAGTGACAATGCTTGCTTTTGATCACTTTACATTCAGGTATGCACGTGATTGGTACAGCACCTTAGAATAGTGAAGGAGCTGTCTCCTCCGTGACCCAATACCAGCAGAGATAGCAAAACAATTCTCGATAAGTTTGTTTTACTGTACACGGTTGGAATAGAATGGAAACTCATTAAAATAATTCGTCAGTATAGATTTTCGGTGTTCTATCAAGTGCTGAATCTTTTTGGACTTTGTGTCTTCGTATTCACTTTTCACGAATTCCTTGATCTACATCACAAATCAATTTTATTATTATACACATTTAGTTATACGTTATAACAGAGTCTGATATAAAATATTTTTCTATAAATAATTTTTTTTAGCAAAACCAGGATTTGTGGATATGTTAAAAACGTAATATAAAATAAAATTAACTGTATGCTAGTTCTCTTGTTGTTGTGTTTAATCTTGTGCATTAAGCACGACAGACCAGTTTGTATGATTTTTATGTTTGCTATGGTGCGTTATTTCGTGCTCGTTTCCTTGCATGCATCAAACGGTGAGTCGGAAAGGATCACAGCATAAATAATAATTTTTATACCAAAATTTAGACTTTATACATTATTAATGAGAAGATAGAAGTAAATAAATTTAATTATAAAGAAATAAAAATATGATAAGATAATTTACCTTGTCCAATCGTTCACGAGAATGAACGCTGTGGATAATAAACATTAGTAGTTTTTCCGACTTATCGATATTCCTATAAAAGAGATTAAAAAGTTTATAATTAGTAGGTAAGAACACAATACGTATAATTAGTGAAAGAAATTAATACTTTGGGGTTATTTCTTCTAAATTTGCTAACATATAGTCCAGTACTGCGTCGTTATCTGAATGTTTATCAACAATATTTGTAATAATGTCATAGTAATCGTCGGCGGAGTAATTTGAAACACTTGTATTTATAAAATTGATTATTATATCAGGATTTTCAGAACATGTCAAGTATTCTAATATCTCTCTCTCTCTCTCTCTCTCTAAATCTTGATTTGTTAAATATACATCCATTAATTTATTCCAAGTAGACACGTTGGCTCCCTTTATACCATTACAATACATCCATTCTGTTAAGTCTGAGGGTACTCTATATAAATAATAAAAAAATTATTTTGTGATTTTTCCTCTGTATATTATGAAATAATTTATCACTATTTTGTGCCATGTATTGCAAGTTTGTGTGATTACAATAAAATTACTTGTGTGTTCCAGTATCTGCAAGAAATTTGTTTAATTTAACAGAGGCCATTCTTTTGCACTCAGAATGTCCAAAATTACATGCCCATTCTAGAATGTTGGATCTCTTAAGTTTTGTAAGATCATCCTCGATAGGATCTCCTTCATATCCTACGTTTTTAATAAGTTCATCCAAAATGTGCAGTACATATTGCTACATGTGTAAATAAAAAATTAATTTGATGATCCTCCTGCTCTGTTTCATTTTTAAATATGCGTGTTTCTATTAATTAATTATAATATCGCTTACCTTGAAGTAATCCAGTTCTGGATATTGATAAAATTCCCGTGTGAGGTCTAATACATTGAACATAGGGTATAACCCTACAATATCTGTTTCCCGAGACAGGTAATTTGCGAGATCCTTAAACATCTCAATATCGAGATGCTGTGTTATCATAAGATGAAATGCATCATCAATGATTTGAGCTCGATTAAGCACGTGTATTTTTGTATAATTGTCAGAATTGAGATAACTCACAATTTTTCGCCAGTTCGTATCGTCGTAATTAACGCGATAGTATCCTGTTGAAAAATTAATTAGCTTTGTAAGTCTGTACACCTTAAATGTTTTTTCAGATTTGGAAGAAATGTAGTTAAATATTTTTCTCACATGTTCAAGTTCTATACCAAAATTGCTATTATGGATCGTTAGTTATAATGTAAATTATAACTAAGGGTTTTTGAATATTTTTCACTAATATTTTACTAATATTACGATACAAAAAATGAATTTTTTCGATTTGAATTAAATTACTGTTATATGTGAAGTACATTTACCCATTTGTTGTACATTGACTATAACCCAATCATCTGGGTCGATGCCATCAATACTTATATTTTTATCTTGTGGTCTCAGCCAATGTGTGGGCAGAGTATTGGAAAAGTCGGGATTCGTTTGCGTAGCAAAACTTAAAGGTATCCACCATTTATCCCTGTCGATATTTTCGTTTTTTGGACGAAAATGTTCTTGCGTTAGTATTGTTTCGCCGGTGTCATAATTTCGGGTCACGCGTACCAGAGGATAATGTCTTTGTTTTAACCAGGTGTCCATTACTTCTTTCAATTTGTAAGCATTATGTGGAACATTTGATTCATCAAGGGCTGCTTGCAGGGCGTTCCACAAGTCGTCGGAAGTAGCCGAACTAAACTGACTGTAAAATGTAAAATGAACGGCGGAGATCATATATGTAGATATATGTGTACTAAATAACAATGTAATTATATTAGTAGATTAATATCTCATTAGTTTCATGTTTCCAAATTGTAAAAAGGCAAAATTTAAACTTTAATATACTAGGTATTATGATTAAAAAATTAAATATAATGTTATCACATTGAATGCTTCTGTAATAGAACGAAATATGTTACTTACTGTTTGTGTAAATATTGAATTAAACCGTTCCGAAATACCTCAGGGGTAATAGTATGCTGTAACATGCGCAGTATAGCAGGTGCTGCGATAATTAACATCGTAAAACGTGACTAATATGTTGAAATAATACAATACCACCATAAGCTTGCAAACGTAACGTGATAGCAAAACATTATTTTTACAATTTAAAGTAGGTGGCATATTTTTCTACATTCTTAGGATACAAACTTAATATAGATATAAACAAATAAACATATAAATTCTCTTTTCGTTGTTATCCCTTCCTTTCTTCTAGATTATATTACATAAGTTTGGAAACTCGGGGAGTCATTTACGTTTACTTCATCTCACCTTTACCATAACTGGCACCAGAGAAAAGTGATTGAATTTCGTTAGGAGTGTTAGCTTCGAATGTAATAGGCTTCATATACTTAGCAATGTCAATATGAAGAGCTGTATGTTGAGTTTTGATAACAAAGAAGTCCATTGTTCGCCATTCTTTGAAAATCTGGAAGCGTAAAGAACTCTGTAGAAAGTTTTAATAAAATAAAATAAATATTAACAGAACATTATTATCACTAATAAAACACAATGTAAATATTATATTTTTCATTTAACTAGTAATTATTTAATCTATAACTGACGGTAGTTCTTTTGGTACAAAATATCAGAAGTGATTTATTTGTGTTTGTATATTTTTATATTTTGCAATTGAATATAGGTATATGATATTTCAATCTATATTGTTTGCTTTACTCTAATCAATCACTCGAATGACGATTCGTTCAAATGCATGTGGATATATTTGTTACAATGTTTAAATCAACCTCATTGAGAATATATTCTTCGAAAAATGATGCAAATCCTTCGTTTAGCCACACGTGAGACCACCATAACGGGCTAACTAAATTTCCAAACCATTGATGCGCCATTTCATGTGCTGCTGTCACTGCTACATTTTGTTTATGACTCAGCGAATGTTTCTCTTCATTGTATGCAAAGTCCTTTTCACTAAAAATTATTATATAGCGTAGTTACACACCTTTTATTTTTGTAAAAATTAATACTATAAAATGTTTACATATTATAACTTTGTAAAGCAAATTGTTTTAGGGTTTTGATAATTTGCAGTTTATGATTACAGCATTTTTTCCCTATTTTTTTTCACTTTCAAATATGTAACTCTATTATATTTTTATTCCGTGTTAGATATTTTATATCTTTTTTATTATTGCTTAATAATTTTACTTTAAATTCAGATGCAAATTGACGGAAAATATTTAAATCTATTTAAATTTATTTAGAAAAATAAAGTTTAAACATAGAAAATAGTTGATTCGAATAATCCTATTTTCTTATATAGAATTTTTATAACTTTATAATATTAAGCAGCAATAAACATGCAATAATCTGGTAAGATATATAAGTGATTCTGTTAATATTTTTCTTAAATTACGTTGCATTACCGATAAATAATGAGTCCCCAATTTTCCATGGCGCCAGCTGTCAGCTCTAGAACTGCTAAATGATCCACTTTCGGGACTTGATAGGTGCTATTAGTATATTCTATCAATATTTCTCTAGACTTTTGAGCGACCTCCTGTGCAAATTTTGAATACGGTGCCAATGCTGCTCTGCACCACATGTTGAGCGTTTCATCTGCGTTAGGAACTCGAACATAATCGGACACTACAAATGCTACGAGATAGGTGGACATGACGGGAGTGGTGTCAAAGTGTGTCCATATCATATCATCTTCGTCGTTCGATTGATCCCGTATCGGCATATTTGACACAGCTGTGTAGTTTCGACGATGTTTTATGGAGATATTGAAAGTGGCTTTTAATGCCGGCTCGTCCCAACATGGAAACGCCCGTCGCGCCCAAGTTGCCTCGAAATGCGTTGCGGCCAACCACCTATCACATTTCAATGTAACACGCTTTCAATAAATTCATCAGCCACTTCTAAAATGAATGAAAATTTTTGAAAATATGTACTTAAATGCAGTTTATGAATTACAGTATACATATGTGAACTATTACATTTCC